CCCTTATCTACTCTAGAATTTTGAGCGCTCTGGGTCCAAAAGGAGTAAGGTTATGAATCTCCTATGAGACAGACAGATACACACGCACAAGCGCTTGGCCGATTTTATGTAGTAGGATAGGATGGGAGGCGATCACATGGCGCGATCCCCATTGGCATTAGAGCGCACAAGCGCACAGGCCGCAATTGCCCTATCCTGCTGCGGCCGGACAACTCGTCCGGATCACTCCCCCACTAGACTTTACTGATCGATCGATCTGATAATTCGGGCCTCAGAAATCTGGCTCACTCCCAAAGCTCTGAAAAATAGCGGATAGCTTCGCTGGCCTGATGCCAGGGCAAGAGGATAAGAACATAATGTGTTGCGCGGACAACTTGACCGGCCCAGCAGGTCGTGGCAGTTGCAGCCCGTGCGCCCTATGTCAATGGGATCGCACCATATGACGCGCCCTCGGCTAGGATAGATTAATTGCACGGACGCCTAATCCTACCCTCCCCTTCAAAAAGCCTGAAAGTGTCGGGTGCAGACCATACACCACAGAGGCGACGGCCTCGAGAAAATGCAAATATTTTTGCTAGTGAAATGATTAACTCGCTACTTCACTTGAAGGCCGTCGTCAGTTGTGGTGTTTGGTCTGCACCCGATACCTTCTGGTTTTTTGAAAGGGAGGGTATGTACCATCGTAAACTCTGAACGCTGCTTTACACGCCCGTCACCCCCAATAACATGTGCAATTCGGAATCGATGTCAGGCGAGTTCATTCTTTAAAGAGCGCGACAAATTAGTGGACTGAGCGTGCAAGCAGGCATACCTTAACAAAATTCTTCTTTTTCTTATTCTTCAGCGTTTGTCCCGCTTGTTGGCGGGATCCGCTTTTCTGATGTGCCGTCGCCAATTTTCCTGATTAAATGCTTGGTCGGGGTGGATCTTAACCAACTTCAAGTCAACGTATCGAGCCAGCGCTGTTTTGGGCGCCCCTTGGGCCGCTTTCCGTGCACGTCTATGTTAAGGCCGATCTTGCGAACACTGTCATCATTCCGCGAAGAACGTGGCCAAACCAACGAAGCCGAGCCTCGCGCATTTTATCAGCAATGGGAGCTACACCAAAGCGTTCTCGTATGACATCGTTCCGAACGTGCCACCGCTTCACAGCTCTCTTGCGGTCCATTACGAGACGTCCGTTCTCGTCATTGATGCCAAAGAACTTCTCGATATCTTCGGTCTGGCGATGGCGAGCCTTGGCTAGTTTGTAAGTACACTGCGACGCATAATTTTAGTTCCACCTACAAATTTCCCAAAAACTAAAATTTGGAGATGTTTTCGAAAAGGGCTCCATAGACAAACTGTGACACATGCAAATGCGAATCTGAGTATTATCACGGAAATCCAGTTTGAGAAAGCAAAAATTTTTTATCCTCATTTTTTCGAAAATAACCGACTTTCCTATGATGCAAAATCATAGTTCCACCAAATGTTTCTCTGCTGCACTTTGCATTTACCCAATCAAATTTTGAAATCATCACCCACTCGAGTCCCTTAGCTTATAGCAAAGGCTAAACCGCTGTCGAACTTCCGTAAAAGGAAAACCCTAGCAAAAGAGACGCACAGTTGTTGAAGTGTCAGCTCACGCTAGAATTTGTCGGAGTGGCTTCATAACGAACAATTTTTTCAGGGATGCTACAGGATATGATTCTGGGGGAAACCCTGATTACTATCCGACCGAGATAAGCGCTGTATCGTGAGAAATTAATACTACTTTATCCAGACGGGTACGGGAATCAAAACTTTTTTGAACGTTAATGTCTCAACGGAAGCAGCTTCACGTGTTTTACAACATGCTCGTGACAGCCCATGTCTGGAGGATAAAAAAAGTACGCTCTCAGTGAGAAGAAACCAGAGAGAAAGACGAGCCATTCTTCTTTGAAAGCTCAGCCAGTTCGAGTGAAGCGATGGCATTCCTTCATTTGCGACTTTTGATTTGCGTCTTTCTTTCTCTTAACGTTTTTCTTTCTCAGATCGGTTTTCCACTTCGTAGCACACTTGTATGGAGACTCACTGTCCTCACTTCGCTCTACTTAGCAAAACTTTTTGAGAAAAATGGCTCGTTTTTCTCTCTGATTTCTTCTCACTGGAAGCACATTTCTTATCCTGTCACGAGCATGTTATAAAACACGTGAAACTGCTCCCATTGAGACACAAACCTGTAGAAGTAAGTTTTGATTATCGTACCCGTCTGATAAAGTCGTATATTTTCTCACGATACGGCGCTTATCTCGGTCGGATAGTAATCAGGGTTCTTCCAGAATCATATCCTGTAGCATCCTTGAGAAACTTGTTCTGTATGAAGCCACTCCGACAAATTCTAGCGTGAGCTGACACTTCAACAACTCCTGCGTCTCTTTTGCTAGGGTTTTCCTTCTACGGAAGTTCGACAGCGGTTTTGCCTTTGCTATAAGCTAAGGGACTTGAGTGGGCAATAATTTCAAATTCGATGAGTGAAATCAAAATCGAGCAGAGAAACATGTGGTGGAACTATGATTTTGCATCATAGGCAAGTCGGGTATTTTTCGAAGAAATGAGATAAAATTTTTTGCTTTTCAAACTGGATCTCCGTGATAATATCCAGATTCGCATTTGCATGTGTCACAATTTGTTTACAGAGCCCTTTTCGAAAACATCTCCAACTTTAGTTTTGAAAATTTGTAGGTGGAACTACGATTATGCGTCGCAGTGTATAGCGTTCGCGCGCGCTCTCGAGCTTCTCGCTAACGCCATCGAGATGACTGCTCTAGCAACAGCCACAGCTTTCTTTGCTGCCTTCTTCGCGCTCTGATAGTTGTTCCAGTTATCGCTTGACTTGTCACCGAGAAACACTTGGTAGAGCCTTTCTTCTCCCGTACTTTTTCTCTGACAGTGTCGGTCTACAGCCATGTCTGCTTGTCCGCCGTCCAGGCTTCGTAATGCCGAGCTCGGAGCGAGCAACACGGACTATTGCTTCTGTGGCACGTTCCCATGTTTCGTCGACAGTCGTTACTGGCGGTAGCCGAATGCGACTGAAAGAGCGGATCCTTTTCTTTCATTCGCCACCACTTGATCCTTGCAGGCCCACACCGTTCAGCTTTCTTGGTCCTTGGAGGGCAATCTTCAATGCCAATCAGTGGTCGATGTTGCGTAGCGACTGTTTCGTACGGCACTGTTTCGCGTCCGTCACTAATCCCGCCCTCCACCTTCCTTGACAAGACGAAAACAACCTGAGTTCTGGCATAATCGCTGTAGAACGTGTTGAGTGTGAGTCACGTTTACGATAGTTTGTGTTCACGATGGTGAGATTGTGAGAGCTTGCATATTCAAAAATTCGCTCACCATCGGCGTTTCGTGACCATAACAACTATAACCATTTTTCGCAGATCCAACGTGTCCATTAAGGTCACCTGCGACAATGGTAGCGTCCTCCGATGGTACCTCAGCGGTTTTCTCATCTAACAGGGCCCAGAACTCGTCCTTGGCTCGTTCGGAGCAGTCAGTCTGTGGAGCGTACGCAGAAAAGATGTGGTATTGACGCTGCTCCATAGCAAAAACGATCTTCATCAAGCGGTCATCGTAACGTTCGACATTCGCAATAGGATCGCGGAAACGTTCAGAGACGACCACAGCGACACCGCTGGTTGTCCTGGGACTGCCACAGAGAACGACTTTGAAGCTGCGGCCAATGTCCCTCGAATTACAGCAGGACCACCTCCTTTCCTGCACGGCACAGAAATCAATTCTTTCTCGCTCCAGTGCTTCTACCAACTCGCACGAGCGACCTGTCAATGTGCCAACATTCAATGTTGCGACCGAACCTTTCATACGTTGCGGGACTTTTGGACTAGCCTAGTTGCCCCCCGATGCCGTCCTTGCATCGGAGACCCTCGCATACTTTTCACACGCGCCGGGCTTTGCGAGTGCGAATCGGCTCCCGCGGACGCCGTAGCATTATCTCGATACTCACATAGCGACATGAAATTTGTGATGTGACGTGGGTGTTCGTAGGCTGGCCTGTCACGGGGGCCTGTCGCCTGCATTCGAATGTCCGCGTTCAGCTCAGCTCACAAAAGTGAGCAGTTTCCAGTGGCACCACTTGGACGAACGGACACCACCACCGCATACCGAAACAAACGCTGGGTCAAAACAAAAAGGTGGCGAAAATTCAAGGGTCCAAAAAAACGTCCAGGCTCTATTTTTGCTCACAAAAATTTAGAAGTAATCAATTATATAAAACATCGGGCTATTTGTTTCTTCATCGAGTCGATGAAGCGCTGAAGGTGTTCAACGCATAATTCATTCCAAATTCCAAACTTTTCTTCTGGAGGTCATCGAACCTTTTCCACTTTGATTCCAACTTTTTAATAAGTACACAAACACGGGACTTTAATGGATCCGAATTCCAACTCATAGGAGGTCACAAATCCATCACCAAAAAAGAGTCGATACAAGTCTCGAGGGAGTGAATCGTTGTATTGGTCCACGGGCCGTAGCTCATCCCTATTGAAAGATTATGGTGATTTTGCTCCCAAGGGGCCATAGTTTACTTGAGGATCTCTTCTTAGTAGCTGTTCCCATTCATTTTCACCTAGCATCAAAAAAACCTATAAAGGCATCGAAGCACTGATATAGCCCCAAAAAATCATCAAACTTCCAAAGTACAAAATACTAGAGGGTATTCTCACCAATCTTCCTAAGAGCTGGGCTACAAAGTGGAAGGTGACTCTTCAAGTTCCCATCGGTGTTGGTACTCCGCTCTCGTTCTCCTGCGGGTTGCACTGCTTCGCTTTTATAAATACTCGTAGAGAGACTGCAGCTGAAGAAAGTGTTGAGCTCTCACTCTAGCTCTCTAGTGGGGAGCTCCGCTTCTCCAGAACCCAACACGCTCGATCCGTCGTTTGTTCGCTGGAATTGAGATTGCTCTTACTCGGCTCACTTGAAAAATACTGTCAGCAAATAACATATTTCCATTTTCAATGAAGTTCCGCTTTCCAGCGATGGCTGCAAAAGCAAGCGCAGATGCCACTGCCAGCAAGTGAGTTCCCTCTCTATGATTGTTTCCCTGGAGAAACTTGGTCGAGAATACTTTGCTAACATAACTTAAAAACTGCAAAATTTTCTGGGACTGAAGTGGATGGGTTATCTGTTTGGCAACTTCGTTATCCCATACATAGTATATAATGCGCTATGTATGTCTGTGCGTGTGTTTGGTGGTGTGTGCATCTGTTTGTCACAAAATTCACAGCGCGCCTCGCTGCACCAGTGAAGCGCTTTATTTTAAGTATGTTGTAGGGAGTAGGACGAGAGTTAGGTGAGGGTCAGAACGTGATAGCGTCTGATAAGATCCGATAAGAGGCGCCAAAACGCTAATTCCACGATATCCATAGCTCGCCTTCCAGCATCAGTGGGGCGTTGGTTCCAAGAAATGATGTCAAGGGTAGGACACCCACTTTTCCCCCAAGAACAACCGTCAAGCGGGCAAGGAGGTAAAAATGCCTGAAGAAAGCAAATGCTGAGTTCTCTAATTCTCCTTATTTCGCGTTTCTTCCCCGAACCTCAAAATCTTGCAAAAACGACCTATCTCTCCTCATCATTGCAAGACACTTCCAACTTTCACCAGCACCACCCCATTTAGATTCTCGAATAAGACTCCCATTGTTACCATCTCTAATACACAGAAGCATACGACTCCCTGCATAGGGATGCAGTTGTTGATGAATGCTTTACGGCAGAAATTTTTAAGGTGCCTTTCCATGAACAGAAGCAGGCCCTCCTTCCTGCACCCACTGTCTTCAGAATATGACGTTACCTGTCGTCACCGTCGAGCCCGACGAAGCCTTACCGTAATCGCTCCGGCCTAGAGCTGCTACATAATCTCTTCAGTCGATTACCTGAAGAATAGTTTCTCACGGAAAACTGCTGTGACTACGCATGAGTGCTTTCGACCAGCGTTTCAGGGACGTCGTAAAGGGCTATCGTACCTAGACGACCTCGTTGAGGTCGTACCCTGAACAATGTTCCCGTGGGAAAATCTTCTGATGTTGTCAGTGTAGAAGGCTGTTATGTAACTTCCCGTAGAGTAGAATGTGCTTCATAATCAGATGGGCTGATTTGGTTTGCTTCCGCAACAAGGAATTATTTTCGTTTTGAATGTGGAGGGAAGTGACTTTTTTTGCCCCCCCCCTCTGTACATACCAAACGCTCGAATCCAGTCGAGGTTCACAACACACGTATACCAGTTTATTGATTTGTCAGATAGTTTATTTTACATTGCAGGGCATTTGGTTCTGATGGTACAGGGCCAACTTACATAGAGATCATCGTGGATTGTACTATCGGATTTTTGGTGATTATTATATTTGTTGTTCTCTTTGCAACGATTGTCGTTAGAAGGCGACGTGAAGAAGCCAGCCGAAATGAGAGCAAGTTAGATAAGAAAAACAAAAAGAAAAAGAAAAAGAAAAAGAAGAAGGTGATAGACAGCAAAAAAAGCGAAAAAGTACCATCAAGCCCCGCTCACGGAGCAGATGTTTCACCTCACAAAGACACTGATGGTCCGGCCCGCAAAGGAAGTGATAATCGACCTCGCGAAGACCATACTCCTGATTCTCGACCTCGCGAGGATAGTACTCTTCCTGATACTCGACCGCGCGAGGACAGTACACCTCCGGATGCAGCAAAACCAGATGGTGGTGGCGGAGGTGCTGGAGCTCCTCTAACGGCGGTAGGATGGTATGCGATATTGGTTGGTAATAAATGTTTAATATTTCTGAGACAGTGATTTTTCTAGGATGCGGGAAATCGCCGATATTGGTCAGCCAACAGCGTGAGGAAGCAAAGGGGTAATTCTTGATTCAACCAACTAATATGTACAGGGTGGTCCAAAATCATGAGGACCAAGACATTGTGTCGTTAAAAGCGCAAAGTAGCTTGATGGAGCAAACAAACTACAGGGAGTGTTTGTAACTAGTACCTGCCACCTGCCGCGTTTACACGAGCCTTCAGACGAAGGGGGTGGCGCGGGCGGTGGCACGCAACTGAGGCGTGTCAAATATTTCCAAGTCTTCTGCTCCGCTTTCTTCAGGGGATCAACGTTTTGTGGGGCATTCATTTACCCTCTCCAGGGTGCAAAATGCAGAATTCTAGATTATGGTGGAGGGTTCCACTGTAACAAGTCTTTCAAGAGCAACAAACTCGGATAGCTTTTTAGAGAATTTCTGCTCTATTCTTGGGTGCTCGTCCGGTAAAAAGTCCCAGGTATGGTACTCAAGTGGCTTTTTATCCACTACAGATGTGAAGTCTTGAGAGTGCCTGGCTGGGTTTTCACATCGACTTTTCCATTTTGGAGTACGAAAGTCGATAAGGTAAAACTCGTTTTGGCATCTGATAATTGTCCTTGTGGTAAGTATAACTTTCGTGTCTCCGAATTTCCCACCTGTGGTGGTTCCAAACATACTGAAGAGTTGAACTGTTGCCCACATGAGCTTTCCTGATACGTTAGACTGCCGCTAGATGCAACGTGCCAGAGCCCTTAGTGAGTTCAATTGAGGAATGACATGAGGAGGTGTTGCTCTTTCAGTAGTTTTGAGAACTGCATGAAGTTTAGCTTCGAAAGGAAGAATACAATGTACCCTATCACATGGTGCACTGAAAAGGAAATGAAAATGGAGCGACTCGGAAAAAAGTGGACATGACCGCGTGGCACGCGGTCCTCATAATTTTGACCTACCCTGTATAAGGTCTGGAGTTGAAGCCAAGATGTGATCCGGGGGCGAATTGCACAGGTACCACATGTGTAGCGTGGCAGCATATTCATATGTAAGAGTGAAAGAACTCTTCTGTACACACCCCGACCCCAGTAAATAATGCATAGGCCGAAGCTCATGTCTCAGGTTCCGAAGACAGAAATGGCGTCTCATGTTTCTCGTATCTCTTCAACATTCAAAGGAATCTTGCGCGGAAAAATCATGATTCTATTTCAGCCATAAATCACTGGCTTGAGACCATTATCCACGATAATAGTAAAAAGAACCGAAGTATTGCTTTCGTTTGATTAGAAATTCGAAAACTCGAAAAGGATGCTACGCGTTCGAATTGCCCAGGACGTCTTTCACGAATGCTGGCGACGGGGATGCTCAAACTTGGTTCTTGGGATGCATTCACTAGAAGCTCTTTCTGGCCTTCTGCTTCGTTGCATTCACATCTTGCACTTCTACTCCATCCTATTCAATCGATCGATTTGTCTCCAATCTCCGAAATCGCGCGCTTTAACCGATTCTCTCATTGCGTCGTCTGCTGGTACGTAGCGGCCAAACGCCGTCTTCTTTCATGCTTCGCCTGGCTCTGCCTCCTGGTCCTTCGATGGTCCATACACACTTGTAGTTTTTGTACGTTTGTTTCTCTTAGAAACCGAACTTCATGCGTGAAACTTTGTGTGCTATTTCCAGTGATCACAACTGACATATTCATGTTAGGAAAGAGTGCAAGAATTTCCCGCGCAAGATTCCTTTAACCCTTTTTCCCTATTACTCCTGACCCATGGCTACAAGTAATTCAGCCGCCTTCCATTGTAGCATCTCTCTCCAACACTTGGTAGCAAGTTCCTTGGGAAGCCCCTCTTGAAGCTTATCAGATGCTAATTTGAGGCAGAGATTTCAGCGATTGAGCTGAAAAGGCAGTCCATTAGAAATTAAGGTGGAGGTGGACAGCGGTACAGTGGCAAAGAAAAACAATGGGAAACGGCTCAGAGCCAGAGAAATGAACCTCTTTTCTGCCTGTCGATTTCCGCACTGATACTGCTCTCATTGGTGCTGCCCTCTTCAAGGCTAATGCTCTTTCTTCTATGCAGCTACATTCAAACGATGAGAAAGAGCTCGACAGCAGGGGCAGCGCGGGTACGGAGGCTGGGTTATGCTCTTCGCAGTGAAACGAGCATCGTCCCACACCCTTATGGGGTCCGACTGCCTTTCAACTTAGTATATTTCTCCTTCTTGGAACTCCGACCTCATTGTGCAACATTCCTTTAAAGACAGCGCCTTGGCAAAGATGGACACGTCATTGCTGGAAGAGCGTCGTCGGCGGTCTGAAGGCCATTCTGCAGAGTAGCGCAAGCAGTCTCATATTTCTAGTGTTTTTGACATTTTTCCCCCTTTCCTCTTCACTTGCAGTCCACCTCCCATCTCCGCATTCACATTTGAGTGGGATTGCCACTTCAATTTAATCCTGATCCTTGCCTTTGATTAGCGATCGATTTCGCTCTTCTTCCCCCTCCAATCCTTTCCTTGACCTCCAGCTGCTACTGCAGCAGAATGTGGAATGGAAAAGAATGTGCTCAGCAGCGCTTATGTAGAAGTTGGGATGCTATCACACTGTCACCCTAAAACATTGACCCCGCTCGACCTGCGACCTCCTCAATTTTGTCAGTGGTTGATTTATTCCTTTTTTATTAGCTTCATTATCACTTACTTCATTTTGCAAATGGACAGACAGTCATATGGAAAGTGATAAAGAATAGACACGCAACCTGACACACCGAATTAGTGATCTATACAGTAGAAGGATCACGAAACCGTGGGGCATGTGACCAATTGAAAGCTTAATGCTTATTGTCCATAGAAAGCCATATCCAGAGATTTACAGAGTCAAAACTTTGGAAGGAGAGGAACTGCTACCTCGGTCGTGACTAGAACAAGCGCTCAGGATAGGGAACCAGAAGAGGAATCTGAGAGGAAATGTCGTCCAGTCTCTGTGCAAGAATCGCATCAACCGTCCAAGATTCTCGGCATCACAACGGCATAGCCCGTCCACACGTGACTGCACGCTACTGTATACACTTACATTTTACCGTATTGAAATCTTCAAAAGTCGTTTCTTTGTCCATATCATATTCATATGTATAGACATAACAATGAACATTGTCTCCATCGATTGTGCCATATTTTCTTCAAATTTCTAACTGCCGTATGGCTAGCCTCGTCCAGTGATTTGCAAATCCTTTTCAGGGTTGAGGGGAATTGTGAAGTGAAATTTCAAACACTTTAGAGGAGGTGAAGGGAGGGGAGAGAACGCGAGATTTCCCAGCCATGTGACCTTATATTCGGTCCAGTTCCACTAAAGCCCCCATGCGCGCGGTAGCGTGCAGAGCTAAACCGGCTCATCATCTAGACAATGTCAAGCAGTAACAAGGGAGGTCATTCAGGAAGAGGGGCACTTTTCAAAACAATTTCCCCAGCTAGGGGCACTCGCGTGGACCACAATAATGTGTTTCGTTTTCCTTGAGCGGCCCACTGCAGGACAAAAAATGATTTTAAAAAATATGTTCAGAATGGGTGACTTATGCAGTCTTAGGATGATGTGTCGAACTTCAAAAGAGGACTACCTCCATATTGAAAGGTACAGGTGAAGATGATGTCAAAATCAACGAGATACTGCTAATAAGAGTGTCAATGGCACGTGTTGGAGAAAGGGTAGAGGTTTCATAAGCGTCATCGGCGCTGTCTAGCAGTGGGCTGGGGGTTACATGAATAGTGTGATAGGCTCGCAGTAGCAGGGTGATTACCATATGGCTTTAGCGCCCAAATTGATGCTATATTCACAATCAAGACTAGCCCCTGCACCTGTTTTCTATTCGAAGCTGGAGGAATAAATCTGCACGCCAAACTGACGCCAGGTGGCGCTGACGCTGAAACGAACGTCATATTCATGGTCAGGATCAGGGTGAATGACGCTTGAGGATTCCATAACGGCACGTCGAGGATTTTCTGCCCGATCAGAGACGATGTCTCGCGCGGACATTCACACTGCCATGCCGTGCCGTCTATGCTCTCCGCGCGGATGTTCACTCTCGGCACTACTCTCGCATGGTAGAGAGCTATGGTCGAGGATTTCCTCGACCGTTATTCACCCTGGTCAGGATCCTGATTTGCCCTTGAGGCAAAATTTCGGGGAAAATCGAAATCTGACCAACATAAAAAAATGGGGGTTTTACCATGGCCTACTGTAGCTCGTCATGCGCGCCGGTGAGCTAATTGAAGAGGAGTGCGGTGCGGAATGTCCTGGCGATTCACGGAAATCGGAGTTCGTTTTCGTAGGGAGCGCCTCCTACCACGTCGCAGTCCTTTATATCGCTCCAGCTATAAAAATGACGCCTTGCGAGTGTAAAACCGTGGACCCAACATATCACGTTTTGCTGGAAGGAAGTATCTATCGACTTCAATATTATACGGATCCCGTTGTACATCATCACCTTGGGTGGCTGCCATTGTCCATTCTGTAGTGGAACTTCTCATTTTTTGGGAAGGATAACAAGAAATTCGTTTTTAGTTCACCGGCTGAAGGCTCACATGAGCTATTTACTGGCTTTTCCATGGCCAACCTTTCGGATCTAGCGCAAAATCTCAATTCTCTCTGAACTTTTGAATTGAGGATTATCGAGCGCCCTAACCACGAAAATGACATCCGTTTTTTCCGATAGCTCCAACTTACACCACTTAGCGCAGTTTGGCACCCTTATGGCGCTACCAATTTTTTTCCGCCAGACTACCGTAACAATTCAAGTGTTACAGTTACGGATGGTTTCTATAACATGGCATCTGATAGTGGCGCTGGCACTATTTATAGCAGATTTGGAAGCTCCGACCTAAAATGTATAGATTTCATTATCACGAGGGATTAAACCTTGGACCATTTGTTTACCGTTTTCTGGCCTTCGCGGGACCGCTAAAATGGGTCTTTGTTTTGCAGTTCACGCATGGGTTCCTATAACATGCAAAAATGCGTTTTGAAAGAAGACGCTCCACATTGAGCGACCTCCCCTATAAAGCAACCTTTTTTCGACGTAGACAACCAATCACTAAAAGGTGCCTGAGGGTAATCGCGATTGTTTACATTGCCAAAAACAAGCATCAGTCTCAGATAGCAGCTATAACACACCTTTTCTCTTCCTATTCACTCTCAGTTTCGCCTAAGTACACTTCGGAGGCCGGTTGGATTTCAGCTTTCAACGTCGCCCTTCATCCGCACCAGCTCTTCGCTTCGCCAAAGTTCCCCTTCGATTATTATGAATGATGCCGCAGATAGCCTCTCCGGAGGGACTGTTGGTAATGGTACTGATGTAAACTCTACTACTGCTGCTCTGAGCAGCACCACAGCTACTCAACAGGACATCCTAGAAATTCTCACAGAAACTACCACCATCGCTGCCGTAGAAACTACGGCTACACAAACTGTCCCAGAGGCTCTCACCAAAACCGTCACGAAAACCGTCACAGAAGCTGCCATCACTGTCGCCACGGAAACTGCTACAAAAGCTGCCACCGAGTCCACTACTACAGCCGTCGCTGAAACTGTCAAAGAAGCTGTCATCACAGCTACCGCGGAAGCTGTTTCAGAGGCCATCACAGATGCAGCAACCACGGCCATAACAAATGCTACCACCACAGCCATCACGAATGCTACTACCACGGCCATCACAAGCACTACAACTGAAGCACTCATAGAAGCCGTCAACCAGACATCAGGTACTCCCTGTCTTCTTTTGTTGGTTAGAACTAATTTCAACCCAGTTTTTGTTTTCAGGAGGAGTTAATGAGACTACAACCACTACGACAGTTGATGTCACAGCCACCATACAAGCTGCGGTCGCTAACATAACAAGTTCGTAAAATTATAACTTCATGCCACTGTTGCCCTTCAGACACTGGCTTCTTTGACTAGAGCCTTTACCTGAGCAGTAGGGGATCCCTACCCTTAGGGTAAGCAACAGAGGCCTGTCTGAAACTGAAACACGCTATTGGAGAGCTGTTTAAGCAGCAGCAGACGGAGCTGACGATGAAAAGACAGCCCACTAGTAAAAATTAAGGTAGAGGTGCTCAGTAATTCAGCGTTGAAGAAAACATCAAGAAAAACAACACAGAATAGAGCCATACACTTCGCTGCGAATTGCGTGTGTCGGTCACCCTTAGGAGGTCCGCCTAGTGTCCCCTACGACCTCCGTCCTTATCGTGGAATCCTTTACACGCCAAAACTACTGTTAGTGTTGGCTCAGGTGTAATTTGGGAGGGGAGAGGCTTAGTGGCGCAGAACATAAAGACCTCAAGACTTTCAAAACCGCAACAGCCATCCTTATGTTCATTTTTTCCGTTCCCACGGAGGCGAGATGGTTCAACCACTCCTTGCGGAAAAATGGATCAGTGTTTTCGGCACAAACTACAGTGCCGCGACGCCTTCCCCTCCTCCCTCCCTCCCTAACTCCACTTGCACCTTCCAGCTGAACTTCAAATTCCTACAGCCACCCATATAGGTAATTCCACTCCCATCTTGTCGTAGTTTCACGATTCGTGCGGAATTACCCCTGCGACCAGGGTGAAAATCGTGTCAAGGAAATAAACGCCTCTTTACGACCCCCCTCCCAAACATAGACTCTGATACGACCCCTTTTTGTCCTCTGCACATCCGGTTTCATATCAAAAAATGCTAGTTCCAGATGTGCGAGAGGGACGCAGCGCCACTGCCACACAAATACGCTTTGATACAAATGCTAGATTAAATTCTGCTCAGATTAGGCTCTCCTTCTTTCCTTTGAAGACATTTAACCTTTGCCACATTGGCCGGAAAGTAGAACATTGAAGGAGGTACTGCCCCTACACAGTTGAACAGTCTCGCGCTCCAGTATAGCGGCGCTAACTACCCGCGATCGCGTCGCGCGCTGTGCCTAGAGCGCGCTAGTGGGAAAAATCGTCAAATGTACCCCCTATTTAAAGGACTATAACTTTCTTCATTGATAACCATTTCAAAAAGTGAAGGCAGCTTTTGAATGCACAAGACTTCTAGTTTCTGAATTGTGCTGAGCGTTTTATTAAGCGCACCTATTTTCGAGAGTGGGAGACGTCGAGAAATTGTCGAGGAAATTGAAATTTACATGTGAGTTCCCAGTCTTAGGGAGACAGTAGCTGTCTCCATTGGCAATGCTTTGGAAATCCGACGAGAGCGTTGTGAAGTAGAAACCGAAAAACGAACCAAACCAACACACACTTTCCATTTGAATTTTAATTCCAGACAGGTGTGAGATATTATTTGCATTAGGCTAACAACAACACTTGTGAAAGTAATGATGACAGCAAAATAAGTGGCAGCAGCACCGTTGTGTCCGTTGATGACCCTTATGATTACGACCCCCTCCCAACTCTCATTCAAATACGCCCCCCTGTCGAGGATTTCCTCGACCGTTATTCACCCTGCTGCGACAGACCACTACATTGTGACAGTGAGCCTTTTCGGAAGAAAGCAGTGCTCTGTTATCCGCCTCTTCGCCTTCCTGTCCAACAAATCTAGTACAGAGTGAATAACGGTCGAGGATTTCCTCGACCATGGCTCTCTACCGTGCGAGAGTAGTGCCGAGAGTGAACATCCGCGCGGAGAGCACAGACGGCACGCACATGGCGCACATGGCGAGTGTGAATGTCCGCGCGAGAGATCGTGTCTAATCGGGCAGAAAATCCTCGACGTGCCGTTGAAGAATCCTCAAGCGATATTCACCCTGATCTAGTATAATCCGTGCATGCACACCGTCATGTGTGAGGGCAGTACATGAGGTACCACTTTCAAAAGTTTATGTAGCTCAAGAAGGTAGATGGTTTAGCGAGCCTAACCCAGTCATGACCCATTTCGGGGCATTACCGCACTCAGGAGTGCTCTCTTTGCTTGCTTTTTCTATGGAAGTATCCTCTCTTCGACTTTATTTCACTTTTCAGCAACAACAAAAATGGTAGTCAAGGGCGATGCCGGCAAGTAAGTGACCTCTTCCTGATGATTTGCTGACGTAGGCTTCGCCCACGGCAAGTAACAATATCGAAGGGTGTCGTCAAAGCAGATCGATGGTTTGTCCGTCGAGAGAACACTCCGCGATTGCAATGGTGTGGACAGGGTCAACCGTCCAGTGCGCACAGTTCAATGGGGGGAGGGAGCCGTGAGCAAGGACCCGTCACAAATGTGAAGGACCCAGAACATAGCAAAGAGGCAAAGGAGGACAGGGTGTCAAATGCCACCGCGACTAGCAACCACAGACGGTACATGGCGCTTCCAAAAGCGCTTCTTATTGCAATAGCACTCCAAATCAAAAACCCATTGAACACAAGCAGACGGATTATTTCAGAGGAACTCCAATGCTTTACCAAATCAACGTGTAGAAAAGCGCAACAAGTTCTACGGTTCAACTTCTAGGGACCTATTAGAAATTCCGGCAGAGGAGTTTTCATTTCAAGGCTTTTCCTTGAGTGTTGATGACTCACATGTGCACAAAAACAGAACAAAGCAGCGATTTCTGGAGGATTAGAAGATCTGCTACAGTTTAAACACTTTTAGAAAGAAGACTACTTGAATTTTCGGAATTTTCCTATCCCGTCGCATACGAACACAACTGGAGAGATGTAAGGAGAGGATAGAAGAGGACCATAGCTATCACCTCATAGCAAAGGTAGATTTGAAAATTCAAGAAGAATGCTGGCTTTCTCGAAACTGAAATCTCGGCCGTATCAAAAACATCCAGCATCTAGCGAAATGATATGATAGGGAAGGGGTTGAATTTTTGAAACTGGCACAACGGACGGTTGACCCTTGCTATGAGCCATTGCGCCCGAAAAAAAACGTTCATGGTATCTCGGGCAGAGAAGTAATGAAGGAGAGCAAAGAAGAACTGATGAGAGCCTCAAAAACCGAATTGGGAGCGGACTGTAAAGAAGATCGTGTGGGCAGGATTGCATTTCTGCCTCGCGTTCTGGGTGTCCCCCCAACAGGCCCACCGCGCGGCGAAGCAAGAGACGCAGTTGCGGCAAAGAGACGAGTTGCAGCGCCTGCTGTGCGATATGAGACGTGGTATGGTGCACTCTCTTTAACTTGACGCCTAACCGCTACGGTATGCGTTGCGACTTGTCCCTTTGCCGCGTCTGCGTCTCTTCCACCGCCGCGCGGTGGGCCTGTTGGGGGACACCCTCGCGTTCTCACTGTTTAGCTCACCTCTTCAATCTAGATGGGCCAGCCAGCAGGGGCGAGTACGTCTTCTCGCTCCTACGATCAAGCGCCTTAGTTTAAAAGATTTCTAGCAACTTTTTTTGCCATAGCACGCGAATTCCCAAGAACACTCGTTTCCGGGCACATAATCCTCACCTATGCAATCGCGGAGTGTGGCTTCACCAATGGGTGAATGTCCTGCGCTACTATCAAGCGCTTCGCAACAAACATGTTGTCATCAGGAACAATTTCTAGCCATCGGGACTCAGTACAGTTCATTGGCTCGGCTTTAGGCCTGGGCATTACTCAATGCTATGAAACCCACACAAAAAAAATCGAGGCATTCACGAAGCTGCTCTGATGGAACCTTCTGAACTGTTTTCAAGGAAAAGAGCAAGAGCGCTGAATTCAAATGAATGCTGATACAGCTCCTCCTTGCACCACTACGAATTGTTGGGTAATAACGTTTGCCTCCCATAACACGCGTTCATCAGTCACGGTCTCATCACTTCTGTCCACCATGCGTCTAACGAGGAAGATCTTTCAGGGTGTACCAAGCTTTTTCAAAACGGTCCTTTGCATGATACAGAGGCACATGCGGGAACCAAACCATGATTAATTTTTCCTGAACGGCCCTCTGAATACCAGAAAAGGGGGACCCGAGTCACACCTTTTTCACCAGTTTTTTAACCAACATCTATTTGGGTTACTGATATTCCTAATCATGCATTTGGTACTAATTATTCATGCTAACTCCATTTTGCGCGAATTTGGAAACGTTGACACAAATTGCAAAAACTTGTCACCACGAGGAATCGAACTAGGGACCCCTTTTCTGGTATTCAGAGAGCCGTACAAGAAAAATGAGCCATGCTCCTGTGGTCCCCATATATGCCCCAATGTCATGCAAGAATTCATTTGAAAAACCTTGGCACACCCTGAACGACCTCCCTTGTAAGCGATCCAGCGTTTTGTAGTGCTTTCTGGGAGCTCTCGCTCTGCACACTGTTGCAGAATCTCTTCCTTCTTCATTTCCTTTGAAATTCTTTGCCCTAAAACTGCACAAATCGTTTTTCATCCACACTCTCACCCTTCGGCTGACAAGCTTCGCGACCATCCAACCCTACCTTCGGAGATCTCACCTAACTTTGGCAGGTACCCTCATCGTGCTCTCTATCTCACTACAGCCATCTATAAACGGCAAAGGTATCTCAGGTGCTGCTAGCATTCATAATCTATGGATTTAATCATGCCAAAGCCAGTATAACCCCATCCATTCTGGCGTATTCGAGGGCAACCCGTTTTCGGTGTAACACCAGTTCCGTCATACGGGTTTATATTTTTATTTTTTTTCTATAGTTTTATTTAATCTTCTCATTCATATCTATTCTTCTCTCTCGATGAGGCAGTAGCCTCTTGCACCAGTGGTGATTATTTGGACCTTTGGTCCTTTGCGTCGATTGACGTTCTTTTGCGCCGATGGCGATTTCGCGTCCACTGACGTTCTCTTCTGTGCCCACAGGCGTTCTATCACTCATATGTCATCTCCTTCCTTCTCTACTCATAACATTTTGTAATAATAGTATTCAACAGTCTTATATCGCCATTTGAAGCTATTATTCATATTCTTGCTGCATATCTAATTATAGTATAGTGCAACCCAATACATTTCATTGGTATCCCGCGCGTTTTTCATTTACTTTTCTTTCTTTTCATTTTTCATTATAACATAATCCCTAACACTCATTTACACAACAAGTTACATATACGCAAAGGAGGGCCATACCTCCTATTAAAAATAGGGATTGGCGCTGATGGGGTTATACAAGTCAAAAATGGCGAGGGGGTCAATTTTTGGCGCCTCCAGCGCTAGTCTATATGCGGGAGAGCCATCCCCTGGGCAGCAGCCCTGCCAAACCTTCGGGAAGACACCCTCTGCACACGTGTTTTCCCGCGCGTTGCTTAGATCTAGGTCAAAAAACGCTCAAAACTCAGCTTATTATTTCACAAAAACAAACTTTAGTAAGGTAAGGGACGGGGTTGGCCATTACATACTCAACGATTTCGGAAATAACAATAAGGGTTGCAAGTGTAACAAAAATGTAGAACATGCAGCATCACCAATATTGACAATTATATCGTATCGCATGTTACAGGATTGCACATCAATACTTATAAAGAAGCAGATGCAAACTGTAGCACAAAAAATGTTATATACTTGTTAACATGCAACGGCTGTGGAATACAATATGTTGGGATGACAATAAAGAAACTTAAAAAAGAATAGGGGAACACTTAACTAATATTTCTACACATAAAGTACACACACCCCTATACAATCATTTTATAAATGTGATAAAGAGTTACTGTAACCATACTTGACTGTATGAAACCTAATGATAAAACCAGTTTACTTGAGAAGGAACTGTTCTGGATTAAACTCTTAATACACCATATCCGTTTGGTTTGAACGATAACATCAAAGGCTATGGAAACATTACAAACGTAGACAATCCTCTTCTATATAAGGGAAACCATCCCTTCTTCTCACTTAAAATTACAAAAGAAAGAAATAACAGAGGAACAAGACACAAAGAAAGAACAAAGGGATAACTTCCCAAAGAGCTTTGGAAGAAATCACCAATAGTAATGGGAGATTCAAGCCTGTACAATACTACAGGTTACTCAAAAGTCTACGAAGAAAAGAAGTCAACAAGATAGTGAATCTATCCAAGTCAGTAGACTTTCTTGAAACAGTTAATAACAAAACAAGATACCTCATATTCTGCCTACTGGCTCATTTTCATTTTGACACAGTTAATGTCAAAGCGTCAAAAAGAACTTCCACAATATAGAAGTTAGCTTCAAAAGCAGGATTTTCAACGAGATACCCTTCAACAGAATTTTCAACTCACATACCGTCAAAGATATATTGCTTAAGAATGAAAGTAATACAATCGAATACACACCCATCAGAATCGTATATAAGTACAATAATCCAGTAGCAAGTAGAATATGCAATTATAATAGAGTGTTGAAAGATCTTACTAACGAAGAATTAGAAGACATAATCAACCGAAACTGTGCTTGTATAGAGGACACAGTACAAGAATATGTAAATGATAAGCATGGACACATCGTAACAGGAGATCTGAACATAATAAAAGAAGAGAAGCTTAAAAAATCATGAGTAAAGGAACCAAATATAGATTGGACAATGGCATAACCAGACCAGAAGTCAAGCAAGTATATGAAGACACGGTCAACAAAGCTATTTCTTATTCAAAAGCAAGTATAAGGCTAACACGCAACAAGTAGGTCTTCTTCAACAATATCTACACACATGTTACCATGATAAAATAAAACCACTATTAAAAAGTGAAAACCTTCGAAATAAAGGGAACACATACCGTACGAGTTAATAAAACGCTATCAAAACAGTTACGTCTTTTGTCCCTTGATAAAGCTAGCAATAATTTAGGAATAATTTGCAAGAAATATTACTTGCTCACTATAATGAAGGAAATGGCATCTCATATGATATTAACAACCACATCTATATTAATGAAAACACTAACAATACCTATGAACCAGTACAATGCGATAACAAGTATTCGTTGATACTGAAACACAAGTTCCTCTGTGTTAGAAATAATATTAATACATTTGCAGGTGCGGATCTGCCTATTATATATGCGCTACCTAAACTCCATAAAAATCCCATAAAGTTTAGATATATTACCGGTGCCCATAAAAGCAGCATAAAACCTCTAGCACAAGAATTACATACTATTTTCACGCACATAAAAAATCACTTTGTTAATTATGTCAATGTAATACAAAACAGAAACAGAACAATTAAAACATATTGGTCCATAAATAACATTAATATAAGTCAAGATCTTAACAATATCACATATGAAAATCTTAAAATCTACACAGCAGATTTCGCAGACATGTTCACTAATTTAGAACATAACATCATCATTAGGAACACAAGCATATCTTAAGCATTTGCTTTAGAATGCTAATAAGTCGCTAATAGCCACTAATGGCTATCACGTCTTCTATACAGATAGTGAATCAACAACTAAAAGCTATAGATATTACAAACCTGCTGATTTAATATATTTCACAGATTATTTGCTAAAAAACAGTTATTGCACATTGGCAAATATATATTTAAACAAAACAAAGGAGTAACACAAGGAGGTAATTTCAGTCCACTGTTAGCTGATCTTACCCTTTCCGTTATGGAATACAATTATGCAATAAGGTGTAAGTTTGATAAAAATAAGTTATTTATTCCATTCAGATATATGGATGATTTGCTAGTAATACATAACCAAACCGAGGATAACATTGACAAGCATCTAGCAGAAGTGTACATGAATACAATTGAATTGAAAAAAACACATTTAAGTGAAACATCTAGTAATTATCTGGATCTAACAATTAGTATAATAAATGACAGAGTTGTAACTAGATTGTATAACAAAACAGATGATTTTCAGTTCAAGTCATCAGATTCCCACACAATGACACAAATATCTCCATAAACAATAAAGGTTCTGTCATATACAATGAAACACTTAGAATAGCTAACACTTGTTCCGTTTTCGACACATTTACTGAAAAACTAACAGAATTCATAAGAGTGTTGCTAGGAAATGGTTACCATGAGAACTTTATTGTAACTAATATAGTTAAGTGCATTTATAAAAATAAGTTTATATGTTACAAATTTTCAATTGCTAATAATCATAAAATAATTATTAATAGTAGTGGAAGGAATACTTCGTCACTAAGTGCTATCTAATTGTTAGTGGAACAATTACAAACACCCACCATTTACACTTATAGTTTTACATTTTTAATCAACTTAATTTTCATTCATTTAGTCAATATACAATTCATTTTGCATGCTCCTCTGCATGAAAGTGCGTTACATCAAGGTTTATTCGTCTTCCCCTGTGTCTTATTTCGCCAATCCCAACTCACTGATGAGCTCCGGGATTGACGAAATAATAAGGTTCGTCTGAGGAAGGAGCGAAACGAACCGTATCTATTATTTTGTTTATAATGGTTTTTCTTTCTTAATTAAGTAGACATAGTATTAGTTTCCGTATGGGAGAAAAACGAGCATTACTCGACTGTCACTTTACATTACAGAGTACCTGAACAGTATGAAAGCGGAGCAGGCTACATGATGACTATCATCATGGCTTGTGGTGTCGGATTCGTGGTGGTCACCATGTTCACCGTTCTTCTTGTAATGATTGCGAAAGAAAACGGCACGAAAATAGAGTAAAAAAGCTGAAATCGTTAGAAGAAGCAAACAAAAGGAAAAATAAAAAGAATATGAAGAAAGGAGTAAAAGCGAGAAGAACAAGAGCAAAGAGAAGACCAAGACAAAAAGTGAAAGGTCGATGAAAGGCGCCTCCAGCGGTTCTAGCGGCGGTAGAAAGGTACGAAGAGCTTCGTTATATAAACCTTCAAATAAATTAAGAGCTGGTTCTTTCAGCAAGCTGGAAGATCGCCAACGTTCCGCAGTCAGGGCAGCAAGCGAAAAAGATGGGTAGGTACTGCCCTAACAATCTTCGACTAAGGCTGGTACTGGTAAACTGCATGGCGCTGCTGGTTTGGGGACAAACTAAAAAATCAGCATAAAGCCAAATAACTGGCACATCATGCGAACATGACCAAGTATATTGAATACGGTAACCAACACTGATGAAGAAAGTGTTGTAGTGGCAAGCTGCACACTTACCACGCGCGCGGTCCGGGGATCGGATCCTGGGCCGCGCTTGGCTCGAGTCAATCAAACCTGCCATCCCTCCGGGGTCGATTAATTGGTACCAGACTTGTCTGGGAGGATAAAAACACTGACTTGACCTTTGGCTTGTTTTGTTTATTAACTGCTGTTTTAACGCCGCAAATCGCGTTGCGAATGTTTACTGACTTGACCATCGGCTGGCCCCGCAAGTCATTGTATAGGCCACATCGCATTCAAGCGCCACTCCGAATGTACAAATGGGAGTAGAATGCGTGTCGCATCCCAAACAGGGATTGACCAATGGTAAATGCTTTATCCTTTTATTAAGCAACACTGAACCGAAAAGGACCAGAACATTGGCTTGGGTCAGGCTGGAACGTGCACAATCCAAGAGTTCGAAATCCACCCATGCTCAGCAAACCTTCCAGCCAACCGAATCCTATCAATCGCCCAAGAGGGAAGAATGCCAAGCTTGAAGTCTAAACAGACGTTGACCTACGTGTTCCTCGCATGGCCAAATACAGCCAAGAGCTTTGACCCCTACTGAAGCCAAAATGCCATTTTCATCTTAGCAAAGCTTTTGCAGAGGTCAAGAGTCAACACTCGGTAACTTCAAAGGCAATCACCAATGTGTTACTGTGCAGTACCGTATACGTCAATATTTTATCGTATTGAAATCTTTCAAAAATCATTCCTGTATTAGGCACGATATCAATTTGTGCAAACATGCTAATAAACATTGTTTATCCTATATACAGAAAAAAAGAATGAACCAACAAAAACAGATGCCAATTGACTACTCGCAGACATCGTACTCTACCGTATCCAGCCGTTCTCCAGCCTTTACACAGTCTGCAAACCACGCTTCCTGAACGAAAATGCAACCTTTGGGGAAGAGCTTTCGGAAATCGGAGAATCGTCGCGAGTCCTCAGCGATTTCTGGCGGAACGATTGCATGAGTGGCGTCATTCAGTTCGGCTTCCTCGTTCACCACGTAGCCTCCGTTCTTCACAATCAAGTCACTGGAAAAATAACGAATAATGTAAAGGATACAAAAAGCAGTAATAGTAGGGGGGGAGGAGGAGAGCAGAAGTTTCGCTCATATTTACATGGTCCGACCCCGATCTGATCACCCTACTGTGCAATTATCTAGAAACCAGTTTAGCTCCGCACGCAACCGCGCGCATCACATGGTAGGCTTTAGTGAAGCTGGACAAATTGCTGAATATTAGGTCGCATGGCTGATAAGCTAACAGTAAGATGTTTGGAGGATGTGTCGCATGAATTTCGAAGGCCGTCCAATTTTGCTGAAGATTGTAGCGTAACGCGCAGTAGCATGCGGAATGAAAATGATACTTATCATGACTTCGTAAACATTTAGCACTGGAATCGAGCTCGGGTGATTTAGCGGTTTATAGAATTTCCGCAATTGAAGAACCGGTGTGTAAGTGAAATATAACCAATCAATCAGCATCTAACCATGTGGAGATTGCAAATAAGATGGAAATTCGCTATTTGTCCAAGCCCAGATAGTTGAGCAGCTCAACTTTCTTTGCTTCTTCAGATGAAAGGATAGGAATGGAACATACCCACGTGCTAGGGACCTGGTTCAGTTCAACTGAGTGCACGCTCAACTGTCGTCACTTTTATCAGTACAGTTGCCGCTCATACCACTTTCTGTCACCTACATGCAACCCTCGCCACCTTAATCGCTTCCCAGTGATAATTGCAACGAAGTTGTAGAGACCTGCATTCAAATGCTCTTATCATTCCTTGTCATTTCTTATCAGTTCATACTGTTCGCAATCGGTGTCCCGGTCCCAACCTCCATGCAACGTGTGGGAGCTAATATTTACTGTCACCACGAAGGCTGCAACGAAATTAGCAGAACTCAAAATCCAAACCTCCTTATCATCCGTTATCGCTTGTTATCACTTTTAATCATCCGCTATCTGTGTTCCCGTCCCATCCCCTACACCACATGTGAGAGCCAAGGTTCCAATGTATCCGCAAGGGCCGCAACGAAACTGGTGGTATCCACACTTTGACGCTTCTTATCAGTTCTTATCAGTCGCTACCACATTCGTAGACTCAACTTCTTGGTCCCCGCCTCATCCCACATATCATACATAAGTGCAAACTCTCCACTGTCAACGCGAATGGTGCAACGAAATTGGTGACATCAACATTTCGACGTCTGTTATCAGTTCCTGCCAGTAGTTATCACTTCCTGAGTCCAAAGGGGGTGAACTTATGAATTTCCGGTCAGACACACACACACCACACACACGACCACACACACACACACCACACACACACCACCACACACACACCACACACACACACACACACACACAACCACACACACACACACACCACACACCACACACCACACCACACACCAACCACACACACACACACCACACACACAGCACCACACACACACACCCACACACACACACACACACACACACACACACCACACACACACACACCACACACACACACACACCACACACACACACACCACACATACACAAACACACACACACACCACACACCACACCACACCACACACACACACCACACACACACCACACACAACACCACACACACATCACACACACACACACCGACAACACACCAAACACACACACACCACACACAACACAACACACCACACACACACACCCACACAACACACGACACACACACCACACACACACACACACACCACACACACAACACACACCACACACACACACACACACCACAATCATCGATTCCTACAATGACGGATTCCGTCTCGAAGATGGTATGGAGAAAGCTTCTTTACATCGAAGAACAGCCGTCCTCATCAAAAACACGTTCTTCCGTGTGTCATCGTCCGATTCTTCTCCGTCGTCATTGACAGTGAGAATGCCATCGTAATCCACTGCAGATTCTTCTACTTCCTCGTCACTGTCGAGTAAGAAAGCGTTGAAACTGCGATTGATTCGTGCGTCGTTCATCCTTTCGCGCGTTTTCTGGGACGGTGCAGCCCGTATGGACTGCCGCGGCCGATGCGCCAAAAAAGGCGCCCGTCCGTGGAGCGCGCGTTGCAAAAATCGCGCTCGTCGCGATAATGACGCCATCACCTATAATGCTCGCTCCAAGCGGGGAGAATGGGAGCCATGTCTGTTGGGCGGTATTCTAAGTGAAATATGTAGAGATTAGTGCTGCCAACCTCAAATGAGTGATGAGTCAAGGAGAATGAGTTCATCAATGAAGACTTATTCTCGTCTGAGTTCGCCTCAAGTGAAGCGACTTCGCCTGGCTGCATAGTTCTGAACGCACTTCCACCAAGCGATACGACTACTATGTTGTACAAAAGCAGGATGAGCAAACAAAGAGAAATTAACCCTGCATGCGACATTATTTACTGAAAGTTTGCAATAAATTGTTCACCTGGCTGTTGAAAAAAGCTAGGAGAGACTCAACGAAAGAGACGTTCTAGCAGAACAAAATGTTTCCACATTTACCCAATATCAAACACAACACTAAAAGCACTATAAGAGATCATAAGACCCCTTCAAACAATTATATTCGGTCGTGCTCATGAGCCACATGTTTTCGCTTCTTTCTAGATTTAGGTAGCCTGATAAATACACATCTCGACAATGGACATATTAGAATTGTTAAATGTGCAGCGACAACGGGCCGCGACGTTCTTTTTGTGAGAAGTGAGAACGTGGCCGTTGTGAGATTTGGCCCAACGATAGCCGACGGCGTGGCTCGAGATCAGGGTCAAGCGAGGCGTCGAGGAAAATTTGGAATACGACCCCCCCAAAATTTGGAAATACACCCCCCTTCCCTCCGCCAGAAGCGAAGTCTATGAAACGACCCTCTGCAAAAGCCGAACTATGAAACGCTATTCAATTCTTCACCAAAACTGTTCATAAAAAGCCCTGCTACTCCACCGTTCACGGAAAAATTCATTGAGAAGTACAAAAGTGAAAAAGTCAAAGAATAGATCATTATTGATGAGCCCTATCAAACGAGCAAACGAGAAACGGCCAAAAAAACGTCAAAATAATCACCAAAATGCAACATGCAAATCAATCTATGACAACATCTCTTCTTTATTATTTCATTCGCAAGACCTACCAGATTCTAATGCTACACGAAGTATGCTCTCAATCTACACCCTCCGCTTTTCAGTTGAAAAGAAAGCTTGTCCACGCCTTAGCCAGCTGTGTGCTGGTGATCTTTGGCGTTGATCGTGGAGCAGCTTATCCACTGGGTGAAATTTGAACAAATATTCAAACGATTATAACTTTCTTCAAATATGACGAATTTCAATCTGGAAGCAGATTTGGAAGTTTTGTGAAGAGCACTTTCTAACGCTACTTAAAATTACAAAAATTTATGAGAAATAATAAATTTAGCTAAAAACGAGGAAATTTATGGTGAGCACGAGTTTTACAATTTCGAACCCATAATTTGCTTCATACTCGTCAAATCCGAAAAGTTAATATGTCAGACAAAACTTAGAG